TTGTAACTGCTCCCTTGTTTTTTTTTTGGAGACCAAGTCTCACTTTGTCTCCTAGGCTGGAGTGCAGTGGCACAATCCCAGCTCACTGCAACCTCCGCCTCCTGGGTTGAAGCAATTCTCCTGCCTCAGCCTCCCAAGTAGCTGGGATTACAGGCACGTGCCACCATGCCCAGCTAATTTTGTATATTTAGTAGAGACGGGGTTTCACTATGTTAGCCAGGCTGATCTCGAACTCCTGACCTCTGGTGATCTGCCCACCTTGGCCTCCCAAAGTGCTAGGATTACAGGCATGAGCCACCACGCCTGGCCTCTGACTCTTATCATCGTCTTTTTTCTCACTCCCATCTATCCTGCATGGTACTCCCATTCTAGTTTTCTTGAAACTGGTTTTTATCCTCTCATGCATTGCTCAAGAATCTTCAATGGCTCCCTGTGGCCCATTTAATTGCCTACATAGACTCTCCTCCACTTCTTTCAAATACCACCAGCTTCACAGAGTCTTTCCAGAACCATGATGATGTACTGTGACCATCCCCAGGGTTCCCACACTATACTGTTGATACAGGTTGAGCATCCCAAATACGAATGCTCCAGAATCCTAAACATTTTGAGTGCCAACATGACACTCAAAGGAAGTGCTCATTGGAACATTTCAAGTTTCAGATTTTCAAATTTGGGATGCTCAACCAGTAAGTATAATGCAAATATTCCAAAGTCCAAAAAAATCCAAAATCCAAAACCCTTCTGGTCCCCAGCATTTCAGATAAGGGCTACCCAATCTGTACTTCTAGAACAGTGTTGTCCAATAGAAATATAATGCAAGTCACAGATGCAATTTTTTTTTTTTTTTTTTTTGAGACAGAGTCTTGCTCTGTCACCCAGGCTGGAGTGGCAGTGGCACAATCTTGGCTCACTGCAACTTCCACCTCCTGGGTTTAAGTGATTCTACTGCCTCAGCCTCCCGAGTAGCTTAGATTACAGGCACCCACCACCACGCCTGGCTAATTTTTGCATTTTCAGTAGAGATGGGGTTTCACCATGTTGGCCAGGCTGGTCTTGAACTTCTAACCCTAAGTGATCTGCCTGCTTTGGCCTCCCAAAGTGCTGAGATTACAGGTGTGAGCCACCATACCCAGCCCACAAATGTAATTTTAAATCACCCAACAGCCATATTTCAAAAGGTAAAAAGTAAACAGGTGAAATTAATTTTAATGTTTTATTTAACCTAACATATGCAAAATACTATCATTTCAACAGGTAATCAATATAAAAATTATTGGGACATTTTATGGCTCTTTTAAATTTTTAATTATTATTATTTTTTAATAGAGACAGGGTCTCTGTCACCCAGGCTGCAGTGCAGTGGCATGATCATAGCTCGGTACAGCCTCAAACTCCTGGGCTCAAGCAATCCTTCACCTCAGCCTCCTCGAGTAGCTGGGACTACAAGTATGCACCACCATGCCTGGCTAATTTTTATTTTATTTTATTTTATTTATTTTTTTATGTAGAGGAGGTCCCACCATCTTGCCCAGGCTGGTCTCAAACTCCTGGGCTCAAGTCATCCTGCTGCACTGGCCTCCCAAAGTGTTGGGATTACAGCCATGAACCACTGCATCTGGCCTGTCTCTTTTTTAAAAACAAGCCTTTGGCCAAATGCAGTGGCTCATGACTGTCATCCCAGCACCTTGGGAGGCTGAGGTGGGTGGATCACTTGAGGCAGCAAGTTTGAGACCAGCCTGGCCAACATGGTGAAACCCCATCTCTCATGAAAATACAAAAACAGACGTGGTGCACAGCTACTTGAGAGGCTACTTGGGAGGTCAAGGCGGGAGAATCTCTTGAACCTGGGAGATGGAGGTTGTTGTGAGCGGAGATCACGCCACCATGCTCCAGCCTGGGCGATAGAGCAAGACTCCGTCTTAAAACAACAACAAAAACAACAACACAAATCCAGTGTGGACTTTACACTTACAGCACATCTCAGTTCAAACCAGCTACACTCCAGGTCTGAATTCAGCCTACTAGCAGCATATGGCTGCTGGGGACCCCATTGGACAGCATAGTTCTAGAGACTGTAACCCTGAGTTTGGATTCCTGAGCAGTTGTCTCATATTTCAGCTATCTTAACAGCGCAAGTTATTCAGTTTATAGGTTGAAGTGTGTCCCACTCTCTCAAATTCATATGTTAAAATCCTAACCCCCAATACCTCAGATTGTGATTTATTTGGAAACAAGGTTGTTGCAGATAGAATTAGTTCAGGTAGGATGATGTCACACTGGAGTAGGGTGGGCTCATAATCCAATATGATTGGTGTCCTTTGAAAAAGAGGAAGTTGGCCAGGCATGATGATTCATGCCTGTAATCCCAGCACTTTGGGAGGCCAAGGCGGGCAGATCACCTGAGGTCGGTAGTTCAAGAACAGCCTGGGCAACACGGCAAAACCCTGTCTCTACTAAAAAATACAAAAATTAGCCAGGCATGGTGGCAGATGCCTATACTACAACTCGGGAGGCTGAGGCAGGAAAATCGCTTGAACCCAAGAGGTGGAGATTGCAGTGAGCCAAGATCGTGCCACTGCAGTCCAGCCTGGGCAACAGAGTGACTGTCTCAAAAAAAAAAAAAAAAAGAGGAAGATAACCAGGTGCGGTGGCTCATGCCTGTCATCCCAGCACTTTGGGAGGCCAAGGCAGGTGGATTGCTTCAGACCAGCCTGGCCAACATGGTGAAACCCTATCTCTACTAAAAATACAAAAATTAGCTGGGTGTGGTGGCTCGCGTCTGTAGTCCCAGCTACTCAGGAGGCTGAGGCAGGAGAATCACTTGAGCCTGGGAGGCAGAGGTTGCAGTGAGCCGATATCCTGCCACTGCACTCCAGCTTGGGCAACAGAGCGAGATTCCGTCTCAAAAATAAAAAATAAAAATAAAAAGAGGAAGTTTAGAGACACACAGAGAGAATGCCATGTGAACATAAAGGCAGAGATCTGGGTGAGGCATCTATAAGCCAAGGTACCCTAAAGCTTGCCAACAACCCCCAGAATCTGGGAGAGAGGCAGGGAACAGATTCCCACTCACAACCTTCAGAAGGAACTAACCTGGCCGACACTTGGATATCAGACTGCAGCCTCCAGAACCCAGAGACAGAACATTCCTGTTGTTTAAGCCAACCAGTGTATGGTGCTTTGCTATGGCAGCCCTAACAAACTAATAATCAAGCGAGCCCCAGTTTCCTCCTCTGTAATATGGGGATAATAAGGTAAACAATCATGGCCAGATGCAGTGGCGCATGCCTGGGACTTTGGGAGGCCGAGGTGGGCGGAGCACCTGAGGTCAGGAGTTTGAGCGAGACCAGCCTGGCCAACATGGTGAAGCTCCATCTCTACCAAAAATACAAAAAAAAATTAGCCAGGCGTGGTGGCGGGTGCCTATAGTCCCAGCTACTTGGGAGGCTGAGGCAGGAGAATCACTTGAATCTTGGAGGCAGAGGTTGCAGAGAGCCAAGATCGCGTCACTGCACTCCAGCCTGGGTGACAGAGTGAGACTCCGGTTAAAAATAATAATAATAAAACAGACAGACAATAAAACAATTATAATAGCTAACTTTTTTTTTTTTCCCTGGCTCTGTTGCCCAGGCTGGAGTGCAGTGGTGCCATCTTGGCTCACTGTAGCCTTGACCTTCTGAGCTCAAGCAATCCCAGCTGCTGGAGTAGCTGTGACCACGGGCATGTGCCACCGTGCCCAGCTAATTTTTGTGGTTTTTGTTTTTGTTTTTTGTAGAGATGGGGTTTCTCCATGTTGCCCAGGCTGGTCTTGAACTCCTGAACTCAAGTCACCCACCCGCCTCCGTCTCCCACCGTGCTGGGATTATAGACGTGAGCCACTGCACCCAGCCAATAGCTAACATGTTTTTGAGTACTTATTTAGGTACTCTCTCTAGACCCTTTCTCAATCCTCACAATAACCCAACGAAGTTGCTACTACTATTATCCTTCTTTTCTTTCACTAGGTGCAAAGAGGTTGAATAACTTGCCCATGGTACCTTAGCTGTTAAGTAATGGGAGCTGAGATTGAAACTGACCCTCTTAAGTCTGCGTTAACAGTTCCTGAGAACCTGCCTGGCAGGGCTGTTTGTGAGAAGTGAATGAGCTCAGGAATGGCCAGTGCTTAGGGGAGCAGCCAGTGTGTAGTGAGTGCTCAGTCAATAGTAGCTATTGTTGTCATTTCATCCCCAGCACCTGGAGCCTGGCACGGGTTGGGTGTGTGCTGCTGAGAGGAACCTGTATTCTTCTTGGACTTCCTCAAACCCTACCATGGCGTCTAGAAACTGACAAGCTCGCCTGCCCTTCTGAGATTTCCCAGGGGTGGCTAACCCTGTTGACGCCTTTTAAGTTTTGCTTTCCACTTAGTAATTCAGAGAAACAGAAAGTGAGACCTGGAGATGATCTCACAATCAGCTAAGAGCAAGACTGTAGGAAATCCCTGGACCACAAACTCAGGATTCAAACTGAGCAGACAGCCTACTCCGGGTCAGAATGCTAGCCCGGGAGCAAGGTCCACCCTCAGCCCAAGAGGCTCAGCCGGTTCTCCAGGACTGGGAGGGCCAAAGCCTCTGGCCGGGGCCTAAGCCAAGAATCCTCTCATTTCCCCACAGGTCTCACCAGTGGCAACCTGGGGTAGAGGGAAGAATGGGGAATGTAGACCCCAAGTCATTGTGTGGGGAAACGTCAGATGGGACTCAGTTTCCCCATTTTAAGACCGGCAAGTTGGACCAGATCCAGACAGATGCCCCAAAGGCAGCTCCCAGATGTGAGTCTATGGTTCTCTGAAGACAGGAAGCCTTCTCCAGGATGTGATGGAGACACCACCGGCTTTCTCCCAGCAGCAGTGTGGGAAATCTTACAAGCGGGGTCACAGGTCACAGATACGCACCGGGGGAAGGGGCCAGGGAAGTGGGAGAGGGGTGGTTTCCGTAGTCCCTGTTGGCCTGGCCTTCACTCACCTCCAGCCTGGCCACGGCAAATGGAGTGGCCCCCACCATGTGCTGAGGGGTGACCCCGCTGACCCGTGTTCTGTAATCGGTGATCTCTCCCTCAGGCCGGATGAACTTGTCGTACAGCACAGCACCGTGGACGTTCACGAGGCTGCAACGAGCCAGGCCGCTCTCCCGGCGGGGCCCCATCCCCACCATCTCGCAGTCCATGGCCACCACCTCACGGCTCCCAGCCATGTTCCTTGGGGACCCTCAGAGATGCTGGAGAGAGGGGTATGGGGGGGCGGTCTCACGCTTGGGCAAACCAAGCCTCCAGGTGTCCTCAGCTAACCCCAGCTGGCCTTACCCTCCACCCTGCCCTTTGTTTCCAACACCACCTGGCCACAGTGGAAGCTGGCCTCTTGCCTCCCCCCTCCCCCTGCCTTACCCTGCCCATGGGTCCCAGGGCCTCTGCCCAGCAGCCTGGGGACCGGGAAGTCCCCTCCCGCGGCCTCCCCAGCTGCTGCTCCAGCTCCCGCTCTCACCTGCCTGCCTCTGCGCCCTCAGCTCACGTCTGCCTCTCTGCTGCCACTGCTCAGCTACTGCAGCTGCTCTCAGCAGTGACTCATCTCTAACTCCAAGCCGGCATCCCGACCCTGTTTCAGTTTCTGGTTTGTTATCAAGTGAAGTCAGGGGCGGAAGGCCGGGCACGTGGGCTGGGCTGCTCCATCTCCTGGGCTACTGGCAGGTGGGGAGCTCAGCTCCGGGCCGAGTCAGGGCTGACGGAGCTGGCAGACTCCATGTCAGGGTGCCCCTCCTTTGCCCCGGCCCTCCCCCTCCTCAGATGACGCATCTGACGTTCGTTCATTCGTGGAGTGGATTGCAACATCTTTGTTTCCTTTCTCACCCTCCGCCCAGAGAATAAACATCCCCAGGACTGGAGCTCAGGGAATGTCCCACAACTAAGTTCTGGGGCCTGCTACCAGTCTGATACTCAGTGGTCTCTTATGGGGACAGGGAAGCTGGTTCTTGGGACATACAGGCTTTTATTGGAATGGGCAGGAGAAAGTTGTGGTGGGGGTGGCTAGTCCCCACTTCCAACCCAGGGAAGGCAAGGAGCAGAGAGGGAGCCCTTACAGGCCTCCGTGGGTTCCGGATGCCTCAATGAGCTCTGCCTCCAGTAGGGCTGACACTGTGAGGGTGAAGGAGAAGCAGGCCTTGGGGGAGCCCCCACCAGCCAGGGCACACTTCCCTGGGTCCACACTCTCCCAGGCTAGGACTTTGAGCTATCAGAACAGTGCCTGCCAGATAGGGAGGGCTCGGTATTTAGTGAATGACAAATAAGTTACTACTGGGGCAGAAAGAAAATCAGCTTTCAATGAGGAAAGTGCTTGTCTTTTACTGTGGTGAGATCCAACAAGAAGCTGAGCGTTCCCCACGCTTGCCTCCTACCCCAGATCTGTGCAGAATCTACATTGATCCCTCCAACCTGATTGCCTCCCAGTGTCATGAAGATCTGTGGTTTGAAAAGTAACTTCCCTAGGTCTGTGATATTTTCACCAAGTGGGATTTGGATACCCAACTTTAACAGACCTCAAAAATAAAACCAAAGACTGAAATATGTCTTCATAAGAAAGGATTGCTCCTGCTTATTGTTCACTGGATGCAAATTTGAGGTGTTTGAGGATTTTTGGTTCCCATCCTGAATAAGCAACTTTTGCTTTACTTCAGACTGTGTGGGGACTTTTTGCTTTTCAAATGCATAAAAGTTATCCTGATTTAGGAGGAAATGAAGTAACATTCCTGTTACTTTATAGGAACATGCACTTAAAAAGTAACCCCCTAAAGATCCAATTGTAGGTTTGATTCTACAATCCCCACAGGACCCCCAAGTGCCCCGTGGTGATCCTCAGGAATATCTTGGCTGCAACCCCTCACACCTTCACCTCCGCTCACCTCCTTGGGTCTCAGACAGAGCACATCCCACTCCTCCAATATTTTCCCCATGGTTCTGTGCCTGCTCTGTGTGACCTGAGCTGCCTCTAATTCTTACCCTTTCCTGTGGAAGCCCTACCCTAGTCCTCACCTGCCTGGCCCGTGTGGCTGCAGGAGTTGCTCCCGGGTCTCCCACTTCCATCTTCATGCCCTGCTCAAAATGGTCCTTTGAGTCCTACCATATTACATTTCCCAGAATCTAATCTCTTCTACTGTTCATGATTGAGGCACTGCTCAAGAAATTTAGTGATTTCCTGTTGTCCAAAAAAAAAAAAAAAAAAAAAAAATCAAATCTCAACTCCAGTTTCCAGAACCTCTTCCATCAGCCCACCAGCCTTGCCAACCTCATCTTGCATCACTATCCAATCTAAGGTCTTTCTTTTAGGTTTAAACCCACATTCAGGGCTTTGGTTTATGCACATGGTGACTTCTGTCAAACCATCAGCAGGCTGTTCTGAAACCCCCCCTGCATCTCCCAAGGACTAGGTCTGATGGCCAGAGGGACCAGTAAGATCGGGTCTCTGCTTCAGGTGGACGAGACAGGCAGTGCTACAAAGGTAAGCCCCTCTCCTGTGCCCTTACCACTCCCACCTCCCCTACTTCCTTCCAACCACCCTGGCTCTTTCTGTCTTCCTCCAACATTCTGGTCATGCTCCTGTCTCAAGGCCCGGGCATTTGCTGTCCCCTTACTCTTGAAAGGTCTTCCAATGTGGCCTGGGGGGTCACATTGCTCCCATTCCATGATGTCTTTCCATGAAGCTATCCCTGACCTCTCTATTTAAAACTGCACTTCCTGCCAGGGCGATGGGTAGTATCTATAATCCCAGTTACTCTAGGCTGAGGCAGATTTGCTTGAGGCCAGGAATACGAGACCAGCCTGAGCAACACAGGGAGATCTCATCTCTAAAATGAAAAAATAATCCATTGTGGTGACTCACACCTGTAGTCCTAGCTTCTCCAGAAACTAAGCTGGGAGGATCAATTGCACCCAGGAGTTTGAGGTTATGACAGTGCCAATACACTCCAGCCTGGACAGTATAGGGGGCCCTTGTCTTTAAAAACTAAGTTTACTTCCTATCCCCCTTCTCTGGCCTTTTCCCGTGGGAATTAGCGCCCTCTGAAACACTATTTTACTTGTTCATTTACTGTTCCCCCTGCCATCTGTTTAGTCCAATGCTGGGCCCCCAGCACCTAGAACCCTGCCTGGGTCCAGCTGAACTGTTTTTCAAGTGTATTGTGTGCTCTGATGTTGGACACCACGCACCGGTGGCTCAGCACCCAGAAAGAAGCCTGACCCCAGTCAGGATTTCCTGGTGCTGATGCTCTACCTTTAACTGGCATCACCCACTGGCAGGCTACGCCCACAGATCTTGTTGGATCAGGTGACAGCAGGTGAGTCGCTCAGGGTAAACTTGTCAGCCTTTCAAGACACACATCCAGCTACAGCTGACTACCTGTAATGGCCATAACAGGTGCAAGTCGGCCACTCTGTGGTCCTCTCTGGATCCGCAGCACTGGCCTGGCCTCAGGCTGAGATAACTCATACTGGAGGGCGAGAGGCACCTCTCCCCACAGGGGACATGCTCTCCCAGCCCAGCCATCTCCAGTCCTGCTGGGTATGTACCCCTAAAATGTGTATGTGTATTCCTAAATTGTGGTTGGCCCTTGAACAACATGGGCTTGAACTGCACGGGTCCACTGATATGCAGATTTTTTTTCAATAAATATATTGGAAATTTGGGGAGAGATTTTTCAACAATTTGAAAAAACTCAGATGAATTGCATAGCCTAGAAATATCGAAGAAATTAAGAAGCTAGTTATGTCATGAATATATACATGTAAATACTAGTCTATTTTATCACTTACTACCATAAAATATGCACGTCTATTATTAAAAGGTAAAATTTAACAAAACTTACCTACTTACAGACCACACATGGCACCATTCTCAGTCAAGAGAAATGTAAACAAATGTAAAGATGCAGTCTTAAACTGTAACTACATAAAATTAACTATAGTACATAGTGCACTGTTAACGTAGCCACTTCCTGTTGTTACCGTAGTGAGCTTAAGTGTTACAAATATCTGCTTAAGATGTATGTGACACTAATCATCCCTGCTTCAGCAGTTCATATCCAGTACATCTGGTATCCCAGTAAGATGGAAAAAGTGATTTCTTGCAGTTTTTGTGGTGTTTTTCACCATGCTTAGTGCAATACTGTAAACCTTGAATCCCACCATGGGACCCATATGAAGTGCCACTACTGATGCTGAAGTGCTCCCAAGAAGCAGAAAAAAAGTCATGACATTACAAGAAAAAGTTGAATTGCTTGATATGTACCACAGATTGAAGTCTACAGCTGTGGTTGCTGCCACTTCAGACAGATGGTTCATCTCATATGTAAATAAAGTAAAAAACTTACAATATCAATAAATACAGTAAATATATTTTATCATCCTTATCATTTTTTCTCTCACTTACTTGATTGTAAGAATACAGTATATAATACATATAACATAAAATATGTGTTATTTGGCCGGGTGTGGTAGCTCACATCTGTAATCCCAGCACTTTGGGAGGACGAGGCAGGCGGATCACAAGATCAGGAGATCAAGAAAATCCTGGCTAACATGGTGAAACCCTGTCTCTACTAAAAATAAAAAATTAGCCGGGTGTGGTGGCGGGCGCTGTAGTTCCAGTTACTCAGGAGGCTGAGGCAGGAGAATGGCGTGAACCCGGGAGGCGGAGCTTGCAGTGAGCCGAGATCGCGCCACTGCACTCCAGCCTAGGCGACAAAGTAAGACTCCATCTCAAAAAAAAGAAAAAAAGAAATATATATATATATGTGTGTGTTATTTGGCTACCTGTTATCAGTAAGGCTTCTAGTCAAAAGTAGTTTATTAGTTTAATTTTTGGGGAATCAAGTTATATGCACATTTTTGACTGTATGGGGAGTCAACACCCAATCCCTATGTTGTTCAAGGGTCAACAGTATATACCAAAGGTTGAACCATAAGAAACAGTGGGGCTGGGCACAGTGGCTCACACTTGTAATCCTAGCACTTTGGGAGGCTGAGGTGGGCAGATCCCATGAGCTCAAGGGGTCAAGACCAGCCTGGGCAACACAGAAGACCTCGTCTCTAATAAAAATACAAAAAATCAGCCAGGTGTGGTGACATGCACCTGTAGTCCCAGGTATTATACTTGGGAGGCTTAGGCTGGAAGATCACTTGAGCCTGGGAGGTTGAGGTTGCACTGAGCTAAGATTGTACCACTGTACTCCAGCTTGGGTGACAAGTGAGACCCTGTCTCAAAAACAAAAAACAAAAAGCAAAAAACTGTAGAATATTAGCAATTTCATGTGGTTTAACATATGTAAAACTATGTTAATAGATACATATTATAAACCACATGTTAAGAAAATGAGTTAAAAATGAACTGTATACCAAAAAGCATGTAAGAAGATGCTTACTAATGATTAGGGAAATGCAAATCCAAACCACATCATCTCATACCCATTAGGATGGCTGCTATGGAAAAACAGAAAACAAATGTTGGCAAGGATGTGGAGAAATTGAAACCCTTGATCACTGTTGGTGGGGATGTAAAATGGTACAGCTACTACAGAAAACAGTACAGCAGTTCCTCAAAAAAAAAACTAACAACAGGCCAGGCGCGGTAGCTCACACCTGTAATCCCAGCACTTTGGGAGGCCGAGGCAGGTGGATCACCTGAGGTCAGGAGTTCAAGACCAGCCTGGCCAACATGGCGAAACCCCGCCTCTAGTAAAAGTACAAAAATTAGCCGGGTGTGGTGGCATGTGCCTGTAATCCCATCTACTTGGAAGGCTGAGACAGGAGAATAGCTTGAGCCTGGGAGACGGACATTGCAGTGAGCCAAGATCGCGCCATTGCACTCTAGCCTGGACGACACGAGTGAGGCTCCGTCTCAAAAAAAAAAAATTACTATACGATCCAGCAATTCCCCTACTGGGTATATATTCAAATGAATTGAAAGGGGGGTCTTCGAGAGGTATTTGTATACTTGGGAGCACTTCCAGCATGCTCACAGCTGCATTATTCACAATGGTCAAGGGGGGAAGTAACCTAAGTATTGTTGACTGACAGATGAATGGATAAACAAAGCATGGTAAATGCATACAAAGGATCATTCAGCCTTAAAAAGAAAAATTCTGGTCAGGTGCAGTAGCTCATTCCTGTAATCACAGCACACTGGGAGGCCAAAGCAGGAGGATCACTTGAGGCCAGGAATTCAAGACCAGCCTGGGCAACATAGTGAGACCCCATCTCTACAAAATAAATAGTTGCCAGGCATGGGGGCACATGCCTGTAGTCCCAGCTATTTGGGAGGCTGAGACAAGAGGAAGACTTGAGCCCAGGAGTTTGAGTCCAGCCTGGGCAACAGTCTCTTAAAAAATAAAATTCTGACACATGCCACAGCATGGATGAAGACACTGTGCTAAGTGAAATAAGCTAGTCACAAAGTGACAAAGACTGTGTAATTATGCTTGTATAAGCTATCTAGTCAAATTCATAGAAGTAGAAAGTAGAATGGTAGTTGCCAGGGGTTGAAAAAAGGGGGAAAAGGCCAGGTGCAGTGGCTTGCACCTGTAATCCCAGCACTTTGGGAGGCTGAGGCAGGGGGATCACCTGAGGTTGGGAGTTCAAGACCAGCCTGACCAACATGGAGAAACCCCGTCTCTACTAAAAATACAAAATTAGCTGGCCATGGTGGTGCACGCCTGTAATTCCAGCTACTCGAGAGGCTGAGGCAGGAGAATTGCTTGAACCCGGGAGGTGGAGGTTGCAGTGAGCCAAGATCGCGCCATTGCACTCCAGCCTGGGCAACAAGAGTGAAACTCCGTCTCAAGAAAAAAAAAGAAAGAAAAGAAAAAAGGGGGAAATGGAAAGTTACAGTTTCACAAGATGAAAAAGTTTGAGATCTGTTGCACAACAATGTAGATACAGACATAACACTATTGGACTGTACACTAAAAGCAATTAACATAGTACATTTTGTTATGTGTATTTTACTACAATTAAAAACATTTAACTGAGTACATAGCTTCAGGGAGAAACAAAAAAGTTAAAACAAATATGGCCAGGTGTGGTGGCTCCTGTTTGTAATCCCAGCACTTTGGGAGACTGAGGTGAGTGGATTGCTTCAGTCCAGGAGTTTGAGACCAGCCTGGCTAACATGGTGAAACCCCGTGTCTACTAAAAATACCAAAAAAATTAGCCGGGCGGGTAGCACATGCCTGTCATCCCAGCTACTTGGGAGGCCAACGTAGGAGGATCTCCTGAGCCTGGGAAGTCGAGGCTGCAGTGAGCCATGATTACACCCTGCACTCCAGCCCAGGCAACGGGTGTAAGACCGTCTCAAACAAAAAACAAAACACAAAGCTTGTGCTCTGTAATAGGGCAATAAGAAATAAATTATCTAAATTCTGTAGCTCTGCTATTTTCTTGCTGCAGCCCACTGCATCCTCTTGAAAACTGCCCTCTCAAAGGGCAAAGCACCCAGCAAGGCTTAGTGCCCCAGTCCCCTCCTAAACCCCCAAAGAGCCACCCTACAACCCCAGCTTGCAAATTCACACGAAGGGCCACTTAACCCACTTTTACAATTGAGTTTTATTCTAGAACAAATGGTTTTACAACAAAGCTGATCTTAAATAGTACATTTCCCCGCTGATAACAGCGCTATCTTCCTTCAACCCCCAGACCAAGGGATCAAAGCTACTGCTCAACTGCGTTTGACACCAGCTACCGACTTTTAAGGAATCTAGAACAAAGTCCTGGAGCCAGGCCAGAAGTAGTAAAAGCCTCAGCTAGCCCCTTCCTCTGTGCTGTGCTGACTGGGAGGGAGCCAGTGACTGGACATCTATGACCCCCCAAGTTTGTGGAATGTGGGGCTTCAGCTAAGGGTGGAGTAGTGTGATTTCAGCAGTGTCTCTACCTCCCTGACCCCTGTGCTGCTTTGCTCTGTTGTCACCTCCCGCACAATGTCGGGACACTGACCGGAAGTCAAACCTGTGCCTGGTGACCACAGACGAGCACAGGGATAACCGTGACCCTTGCTGCTGTGTCCTCACCGAGGCCAGCGCCCCACCTGCTGCAACAGCCAAGCCAGAGCAGTTCTGTCTGGGCCACAGCTACTCAGCCTGTGGACTCAGGTGTTATCCTGAAGAAGTTGCAACAAATCCTCAAAGAATAAACAACGTTGTGGCCCCTTTTTGGGCTTAAAAAAAAAAACAAAAGGGAAAACAGAAACTCACAGTGGCTGTGGCTCACCACGTGCCAGGCACTGTGCCAAACACTTCACATTTAGTGCTCATTACAACCCTATGAGGTAGGCCGTACCACTATCCCCATCTTACAGATGAGGAAACAACAGGCTCAAGAGTGAAGTCCCTCGCTTGCCTAGTATCTCAAAGCTAAGTGGCAAGCAAAGATGGGGCTCCAAGGTCTGTGTGACCTGAGTTCTTGGTTACCCAATATTTCAAAACTGTCACTTAGGAAACAAGAGAACATTTTTAGAAATAGGAGAAAACCCAACAGCCACAGTGATAGTCAAAGAGCTGAGGGGGCATCAGACCAGGTTCAGGGCCACTGCTAACTGCCAATGCCCTGCCCCAGCCCCAGGAGACATACAGACTCTACTCCCCTAGACGCGTAGCCCTGCTCTTAATAAATAAATAAAGGTCAGGCACAATTCTACACAAAGGCCCCAGAATTCAAACCACTGTCTTGTTTCTCAGGCTTTTGCTTAAGAGCCCAGTACTGGGTGGACTGGGGAAGTCCCTGATTTGGGTCAAAATAAATATGCCCGTTCTCGTCCAAAGCTTACCTGCCTTCCCTCCTCCCTGAGCTGTGCCTGGGGCCTTCTGTTGCCAAGCATGTTAAGGGGCCAGTTCCCCACGAGAAGCCTGTGGGCTCTGCTATTCCACTGTAGCCTAGCAGGGAGCTGACAGGCCACGCGGAGCACGGAGTTCCTACAATGGCTGTAGCCAGAGTTCCAGGTCAGGGAGGTGGGGAAGAAATGTCTCCTTTAGGACTTAACTCTTTAACTTCAGGGCATATTTATTCTGAACCCAAAATGAGTGGAGGAAGAGGTAGGCAATAAAAGGAAGATAACTTTACCCCAAGTCATTGAGTTGGGGTAAGGGAGCTCCAGGATATTGACACCCCCACCCACCAACCCCAGAGAGGGTGATATGATTCCTTTCATTAGCACAGTATGATGACTCAGGAGATCTGAGGGGTGGGGAAGGCCACGACAACCTGGTCAGTCTGTGGACACATTCCCTACTCCTGCTGGGCCCTAGAAGATGGTCCACCTGACATCTCCATCGAGTCTGTAAAGTGCCATTAGCAAAATCACAGGAGTCAGGAGAAAGAACCAACAGCCCTGGAGAGACAGAGCCCTATGCTGTGAGCAGAGGGTGTCAAGATAACAGATGACCCCCAATCCTCTGGCCCTGGGGCTGGCTCGCTGCATCCTGCCCCGCCCTGCCCAGGAAGGAGTGCCCGCTGCTCTCCTGGCCCCCACTTCCTACTGGCCACACCAGAGGCCCAGTCAGGGAGCCCTGCCCCCTTCTCAATTCCTTCTGTCCTGTGCCTCCCTGGCTCCTCCTCTGCTGCCGTGGGCAAGGTCGTCGGGCCAGTACTGGTCCTCCATGTACTGTTCCATGTCTGTGCTGCTGTCAGGTTCTCTGTCCTCAGGGCAGGTCCAGAGGCTGCGGGCCTCCTGCTGTTCCCACTGCACCTCCACCAGCCGGTAGAGCTCCATGGCTGTCATGGCATCTTCTACTGATGAGTGCCCGTGCGGGCCCACCTGCTAACAAGAGCCAACACATCACTGCCTGCAAGCCTGGTGAGAGGCCTGTTACCCCAAGAAGCAAGGAAAGTTACCCAGGGTTCTTTGTGCAGGCCCAAGAATACATATGCTCAGAATGGAGGTTCACAGAAAAGGGATGGAACCTCAACTGTACACCATAAGCCAGGCAGCTTCTCCAAGCCTGTTTTCCTCAAATACAAGGCATGCTAGAAATCTCTTGCTTCAAAGGCTTGCAGACCAGATGAATAATAAATGTGAAGCCCAATAGGAGTAAGAGGTACTAGCTCCTCATCTAAGGCTATATGTCTGGTAGTAGGGGATGGGAGACCACCCTTCGGGGATACAAGAACCAAGAGTGAGGCAGGGTACAGATTCGGAAGAGATCAGCCTAGGAGAATGTGTTCTGGGAGAATCGCAGTACACACTGGGGAAGAAGGACCATGGAGAGAAACACCTGGGGCTGCCTGTACAAGAGGGAGACCCATTTATGCAAGGTCCCTGGACCTGGACTAGGGAAGAGAGAATGACAAGGAGGCTGCAGGCACAGCCCAAAGCCTTGTCTGTGGCTCAAGTGGCATGGAAGCCGGGCGGGCCTCCCTCCCTTCCAGTCATTCTCTCACCACGCACCTGGATCTTCTTGTGCAGCAGCTGCAGGGCCAGGTCCTTTAGAGAGACCCGGGCCCGGGTGTGGAGGCCGGGCTCGCTGAGGAAGTTTGGGACATAGGTGGTATCCCGGGTCTGGCTCCGAGGGTGGACATACTTGAGGGCCTGGAAGTCGTTGTGCAGCGCGTGCCCCACCACCACCTTGCCCTTCAGGAGCTTAAGGATCTGTGAGCAGAGAGAGGAGTCAGGGAGGTCCCCCCATACCCCATCAGGCTGGCAGGAGACACGCCCCGAGAACCCTTGGCCAATAGGTGCATGGATCCCTGTGGAGGGAGGCAGCACAGAGTGGGGAGATCATGAGCTCCACAGTCAACCATGCTGCCCCAAGTCTGAACCCAGACCCTTCTACTGTCTATACGCAGGGGCATACCTATGTCTTCCGCACCTGTCAAAGGGGAACACTGGCAGCAGCATTCCGTGGGGTAGCTGTAAGGACTAAAGGAGGTCATGGATGGAAGTCTTCCTGTTCCCAGATACAAGCAACTCTACTGCTGGCGCTGGCTCTCCTCTCAGGCTGGAAGACGTCACCAGGCCTCCACCCCACTCTCCCCCACCCCACTGTAAGGTCTGTGAGTGCAGAGACCATGTTGGACTCATTAGTGAGGCTCCAGGGAAAGCGTCACATTTATTCTTTTTTTTTAATGCCTATCTTTTTCCAGTAGCAGAAAGCATTACATTTACTGATTTATTATTTACTTATCACAGGAGGTGATCAATGAAGACCAGCTGGGTGAAGTCAACAGAACCGTGGCTGTCACTGGTAGACACACCACCGCAGCAGCTCTTATGAGCATTAAGGGCCATAATCCCTGTCTTCAGGACTCTGCCCCCTTGCCCTGCTGTGTACCAACTCCTCCTCACCCTCTTAACCTGCTCTCTTGCTCAGCTCTGGCCGCTTGCACACTGTGTTCCTCCCCTCCCTGCTGGGTGGCCTCCTCACACACCAGGGAGGCCACGTCCAGGGCCATGGGCCAGCAACCCCCTCCAGCCCTCTTAGCTGGGCTTAGGCTCTCCTTATCACCAGCTGCTGGCCTCCACAGCCTACCTCTGCTGGCAACATATGGTTTATCCCTAAACCCAGCTTTCATGGCAGATGGATAAGATGCATTGAGACTTCATGGTAGGGACATGCCACCATGCTGGTCACTCACCACACTGCCCCTCCCCCCAGTCAGCTATGAAGTGGAAAGAGATGGAGCACACCCCACAGTGGCTCAGAGTCTGGGCAGACAAAAAGTGGTCCTGCTCTCGGGACCACCACCCACCAGGTCAATGGAAGGGACCGAGGAGCTGGAGCGTTCACCACACACCTCCCCTCTTGTTGCTACTCTTACTGATTGGCCTCCTTGATACATAAAATAACCTCCAATCATTTCAAAGGAATGCTCAGACCACAATGTTATGTGAAAAAGTAGGACACAAGATAGTGTACACCAGTATTTCCCAACCTTGCCTAATCCCAAGAATAACCCAGAAGTGTTAAAAAGTGGTTCTGTTATCAGGCTTGTTTAGAAAATGCAGATTTGTCTCAATGTAATTGATGTATGACACATTTTGGGAACAACGCAAATTTCACCTTTGCTTACGCATAATTTCGTCCTTGAGAAACACTGAGTGAACGCAGAAAACTGCATCCAGCTGAACTGAGCCAAGAGGGCACACACAATATGCACACAGCAACCCTGGTTCACCTGTGTCATGAGCCACACCCATCCACAGCTGGTGTCACACTTCCTGTCTGACTTCAAAGAACTCTCCTTCCACCACTTCACAGAAACTCAAGCTGCAACCTTTCTGCCTCCTGTTCCCACAAGCAAGCTTTAGGACTTTTTCAAGGTAAAGTGCCATACTTATTGGTGTATTGTGCATTTCTTAACCATTTAAGATGTGTGGAATAAGGAAAAAAAAAAGGAAGAAACAACATGTGTAAAACTGGACTACCTTTTTTATTAGGTTTCCATCTTATTTTTGGGGTGCCACTGATGTCCTTTTTAATACTGTTCCCTTCCTCCATTTCCCCTTAAGTCCTGTAGCTTTACGGTGCAAGTCTGCACAGTGTGATGATTTTTTGGAACAAGGGTCGGAGCCCTCCCCAAGCCTAATGGATCCGGGTCTCTACGGAGGGAACTAGGGACAGGGATCCTGGATTGTTAAAAAGGCCTCAGGTGTTTCCTAAGGTCAAGCACGTTTGGGAATTCCTGGTACATCAGTGTGGTCCCAACCACCAATTACATTTTTCTAAGCACTAAGAAACTAACATGAGGAAATAGGCCAAAGCATCCATACCTGACCATGATGCCACTGTGGGCTTTACAAATTTTATATCAACGCATACAACTTTTAAAACAGAAAGCAAACTCTAAAACGTAAGCTGTTTATCACCTTACAGTTGGTGTAGCCTTTCTATATTGTCCTGTGCAACAGGCCAGCAATCCTTATCTGGAGGCAGGTTTGGGATTTTATTTTTATTTTCCCTATTCTATGGAGAAGGAACTTACTGTTTGGAGCAGTTAGGTGACTTTCCCGAGGTTTCTTGCCCCCAGTGAAGCAAAGTGGTGACTCAAACCTAGGGTGGCTCTTTCCAGCCCACCACACCTCCCAAACAAGTACCCTCCCCTGCCCTTACCTCTTTCTGGGCCACCTGGAAAGGGATAGCCTTGCGCATGTGCTGCCGAGTGACGCCGCTCCAGCGAGTACGGTAGTCGACGATGGGCATCTCGGGCCTGATGTACTTGTCATAGAGGACATCGCCATGGTAACTCACGATAGAACAGCGGGCCAGCTCGCTCACCCGCCCTTGGGGTCCCGTGCCCACCATCTCACAGTCGATAGCCACACACTTGCTGGGCAAGGGCCCTGAGGCTTTCCTGGGAGCAAGCCTTCTGCTGCATGGGGCACCGCCAGATCCAGCCCTCAGACACTGCTTCCCACTGCTGGCAGCCTCAGTTGCTGGCACTGCCCTGAAAGAGGTGCGCAGTAGGGAGGACCCTGGTTCTGGAGGCATGCTCAGTAGCCCCTGCTCCTGCAGCAAGGCCTTCCGGGCCATGAACCGCTGGTGCTGTCGGCTCCTTCTCTTGTGCCTCTTCCGAAGCGCATCCTTGGCATTTGGGATGGTGAAGGAAGGGCACAGGCACTGAGCAGACTCAGGGGCCTCCCGGGGTACCATTCCAGTTAGCTCACTGCTTGGGGCAAGGGAAGCCTGGGGAGTAATCTTCCAATGGGGCAGCAGCCTGAAGAGAGAACACACAGGCCGAGGGGCTGGGTGAGAGTGCGCCAGGCAACCCATCCACCCTCCCTCCCTGCAGCCCAACCACCATCCCCTTCTCCCCACGGTGGGGATGCCCGAGAGCCCTACACTGTAGCTGGTGGCTCCCAGATTGAGCTGAGGACCCAGTTCACTAATAAAAGCATTCATACTGTAAACACATGCAAGTCACTGTTGTAAATACTATATGGAATCCCTCAATCTGTTCAATGACCCGAACAAAGTATTATTATCTACATTTTACAGAGGCACAGAGGTGAAGATATTTGCCCAATTAGTAAAGGCCAAAGGCTGATAGGAACCCAGAATCCACACCCTCAACCTCAATCAAACCATGGCTGAGTCCAATATTGTTAGCAGCTGACTTTTTTTCTGCTGTGATTTTTAGCTAAGAAGTATCAGACTTTGACAGACGTATGGTTATAGGAAACATAAAGGTTACAGAAACTGTGTAGCCCTTTTTAAGAAATCTTTTTTTTGAAATATGAAGGCACAGATCCTCAGAACCTGGAGAAAAAATTTCACAGGAAGCCCGCAGTAATTGAATAGTTATATTTTTTGTAATATGTTAACCAAATGTTATTTATTTATTTATTTATTTAGAGATAAGGTCTCGCTCTGTCACCCAGGCTGGAGTGCAGTGGCATGATCACAGCTCACTGCAGGGCTCAAGTGATCCTCCCACCTCAGCCTCCTGGGTAGCCGGGACTACAGGTGCACACCAGCACACCTGACTACCTTTTCTGTATTTTTAGTAGAGATGGGGTTTCATCATATTCCCCTGCTGGTCTTAAACTGGGCTCAAGTGATCCATCCACTTTGGCCTCTCAAAGTACTGGGATGATAGGTATGAGCCACCATGTCCGGCCTTTAAATGTAATTTCTTTACCTGACTTTGTAATTCATTAATCACCACAGCATCTACAAACATTTAAAAGTCCTGATCTGAAGTGCTTGCAGATTTCCGTGGTGGGCTCCCACCCAGCGGACTTTAAGCCCTCGTCATTGAAAGCTAGGATAAGAGGTGCTCTCGCACATTGCTGCTACAGGAAACGTCTAATGTTCCGGTGAGTTTGCAAAAGCCAGTATCTTCCCGACAGCTGAGGCCATAGCTTGGAAAGCCTATCTCATTTGTTATGCCAAGTCAGTCAGTACATTTTTAACAGATCAAACAAACTAGGGCTTTGAAGTCAGGCAGAGCAGGGTTGAACTCGGCTTATTTATTTATTTATGGAGGCGGAGTTTCGTTCTTGTTACCCGGGCTAGAGTGCAACAGTGTGATCTCAGCTCACTGCAATCTCCGCCTTCCAGCTTCAAGCAATTCTCCGGCCTCAGCCTGCTGAGTAGCTGGATTACAGGCATGCACCACCACGTGTGGCTAATTTTTGTATTTTTAATAGAGATGGTGTTTTGCCATGTTGGACAGGCTGGTCTCAAACTCCTGACCTCAGGTGATCCGCCTGCCTTGGCCTCCCAAAGCTCTGGGATTACAGGCGTGGGCCACCATGCTGGGCCTAACTCAGCTCTTTGTAAATTACCTAAACTGCTGAGTTTCAGTTTTCAGGCATGTAAACTGATCCTACCACCTCCTCTACTGTGTGAAGAGGAAATGACACAATGTATGCTGGGGTATTCCTGTATTCTAAACAGCAGGGGCTCAATAATCACTGTTCCTTCTCCCAGAGAGGTTAGACTCTAGCCTGTGGTTGGTAACCACCTCTTCTCAAGCCAGAGCAGTGCAACCCAGTGGGATAGAGGTTCTTCCAGAAGGACTTCTGGGTGGTGGCAGACTCACAGCCCTTTCCCAAGCCACAGGCCTTCTCCTGCCTCCCTTCCCACTCACAGTCCTCCTGCTCTTTCAGACTCAGCTATTGTTCTGCCACTAGGTTGCACAGGCCAATGCCACACGGAAGCTCTCTCGTGTCTCCACTGTGCCAAGTGCTGGGCAGCTGCAAAGGTGGATCCTGGACTCCAAGAAGTTTAGTTTCATGGTGGAGACAGAAACCAAGCACAAAGTGTGTTAAGGGCTGAATGAGAGGTGCTAGGGAGGCAAAACAGGTTGGAGGACAATTCTCTGGAGGTTTCCTGGAAGAAGCTAAATCTGTGTGCATGTAAAACAGTAACCTTCCAGGTAAAAGGGAGAAGAAACAGTGGCCATGTTAGGGGCAAAGGCTTTAAAAAAGAGTAACCCAGGGTGGAGGAAGAGGGCCCACCAGCAGCCTGAAGTCACTAGGGTGTAGAGCATAAGGCGGGTCATGCTGGAGGCACTGCTCCTCGCTCCTCTCTCCTTTGCACGGTTTCATCTTCTGCTTCCCACTCTGGTGGCCCTTCCACGAGCCACCCCTACTCCAATCTGGTGTTCCCTGAATTGGTGTCTACTGGCCAAGTGAATGGGGGAGCCTCAGAGGCACCTATGGAGGTCACTGAAATACCCCAGAGTAGCCCTGACTCAGGACATTAAGTCTAGCTGGGGAGCAAAGAAATTCAGTCCTCTGTGCTGAGCTCTTATAGCACAATTTGAGAATTATTACACCCTTCCAAGTCCATTGGCACACACAGTCTACCTCAGAGCTGTATGAAGGCAGGTTGGAGCCTTGATTGTCTCTGTCCCTTCCCCAACAGCCAGCCTAGAAGCTAGCACGTGGCCGGTCCTCTTCAGAAGGGTGTAGAAAGAGGTCTGGAGAAGATGAAAACCTGAGCAGTAGCAGCAGACATTAAGAGAAACGGGAAGGGGGTGGGAAGTGAGGTGAATTGCCAGGTTTGATGATACCACAGCATTTCCATAAAGACTCTCCACACTCTAGGGCAGGGCACCGCATCCCGACTTGACTCATCCAGACCTGACCTGTCCTGACTCATTCACCCTGCTTGCTCATCCCATCCTTTCCAGGAGACAAGGTCTCTCTTTTAAAAAGGTCTTAACTGTAACCAACTTCCTCATATTGACAGTCACATCTTAGAACTGACAAATTCACAACCTCAATTTGCTTCAGTCCAGCAATGGGAGAAAAAAGCCTAAGAAGCCCAATGCCAACCGTGCTAATAACTAATCTGGGAAAGCGGGGTGGTGGATAGTCCCCTCCTTTCTCTGTGAGGGGCTGAGGCTAGGACTAGGGTTGGTGGCTTTCCTGACCCTACTGGCAAGGTTTTAAAGAAGCCAGAAATTAAGTTATCTGAGAAAAGGTCTCTATGGCCTCCGATTTCAAGAGAGGAAAGCAGTCCTTTTCCAAACACCCTGACCTTGCTTGACAGAAGAGAGAAAGAGAGGCCCCCCCCCCACATACTGTTCTATATTATTTTATACTCAGTACCCGTTTTAATAAGAAACGAGGAAGCAAAGCCAAAGGCAGGCAGCACAGCACCGCACCAGGCACCACACCGGAAACCAGGCCTGGGCCTGCCTGACCTTAGCCTGATAGTTAAAATTCAAACTGTGACCTAGCAACCGATGTTATCCATAGATTCCAGACATTGTGTGGAAGGACACTGTGAAATTTCTTGTTCTGTTCTGTTTCACTCTGATTACCGGTGCATGCAGCCCCCGGTCACATATCCCCTAGATCCTCAATCAATCACGGCCCTTTCATGTAAAATCTTTAGTGTTGTGAGCCCTTAAAAGGGGCAGAAATCGCGCGCTCAACAAGCTGGGATTTTGAGACACTAGTCTGCTGATGCTTCTAGGTGATTAAAAACCACTTCCTTCACTACCTGGGTGTCTGTGGGGTTTTGTCCGTGGCGCCTCCTGCTACATGCTGACACGTCAAAACCAACAGTCATCAAGGACACACCTCTTTGGGGGCCCAAATGTAGCTCAGTGAAGCTGGAGAGAAGTTCCACTCAGATAAAACAACCCTTTCAATAAGGACAAATACAAGCCTTTCTCTAGCCTGGACCCAGCGCTCTGGGAGGTCAGACACCGGGCCTTCAAGCAGGGAGGGGGTCCCTGGCCTAAAGAAAGGGTCCCAGCTGCAGAGTCAATGGAGCAAAGGCCCCAAAGGAACCACGAAGTCAGAATCCTCAGTGGCATCAGAGTCACCAACCTGCTGGCTGATCAGGAGGGCAGAGGGCAATTCTAGACCCTCCTCTGGCACTAAATAGCTAGATGATCTGGGGCAAGTCACGTCTCTTCACCATCGACCGAGGACTGTGAATTAGATAAGGGCTTCCCAAATACTGTTAATTACCAAATGGCATCTGATAAAAGGCTGATTTTCAGGCCCACTCCCACACCGTCCTAATTGCTATTTTGGGGAAAGGGGCCTGAGAATCTACAGTTTCAAAAAGAGCGCGCACGACCCCTACCCTCAAGCCACGATTCTGATAATTGCCCAAATCTGAGAAAATCTGGTTCGATAAGGTCCCCTGTGCTGCTAAAAAAAAAGTCCAAGGAACAATGACAACAACTAAAGTCTGCTATCCCGGCACGACCTCCCCGCTGGCTGGCGTTCTCCAGGCGTGACGCGTGGGAGGCCTGATCTCACCGGGAAGGACTCGGGCGTTGGTCACTTGCTGGCCGCGGCTGCTGGGCCCAGTCCCAACGACCAGCGCCGCCCCCTCTGGCCCTGGACTCCTGAGCAAAGCGAGGACTGGAGACAGGCGGCGCCCGGCCTGCTTTTCTGCCGGCCGGTAGAGCACGGTCAGCCCACTCAGGCGACACCGCCGCAGGCCGGGGAGGACACAACGCGCGGGGCCTGCGACCCCAGACACGCGGCCTCAGCCCGCCCGACCCAGCCGCCCCGGCACAGGGTCCTGGATCTCACCTGAAACCCCGCGCGTCTCTTCCGGTCCGCACGTGGCGTCCAGAAAGCCGGCAGCTCCCACATGCCCGGGCAAGCCCGGCTGCCACTGCCCGCCTATTGGCTCGCTGGACGGCAGCGCCCGCCCAAGGCCTCTTCTGATTGGTCGAGCCTGCCTGGCAGCGGGGAGGCGGACGAGAGCAGAAGGGGAGGGACTCCTGAAGGGGGC